AAAAAATTAGTTCCATGAATGTCTTTGATTTTCTAACAAAAATCCGCACTAACGTAATTTGCAACTGACTAGTTGTTAATGGTTGCTACTTTCAAATGTGGGCCATTATACAAAATAGACTATCTGAGCACCTAAGACCCAAGTATTCAACGTATATTCATATTTATTTATATGTAAATTAAAAATCAATAAAATATAAACTAAATCGGTTTGCGTTATCGCAAACAAGCACAAAGATACTTAATTGACTATTAAACCATGTTTTTTGTCTGACAATTGATATTTGTGGCATTCTGTTATAAGTGGAGCGATTTAATCGAGTGATATTGCCAGTTGCATCCTGCATAACGCAACAGGTTTTGTTGCCGGCAAAAAGTACTTCTTACTTCACTGAACTTAACAACATTTTACGTCGGATGCACTTGAAATGTAAATGATCGTGAACTTTACAGATCTCTTCAAAAATATAACAAAAACATCATTAAATTCAATGAAAAAACAGTACACTGTTGCTGTCCACAGCAGTTTTTTTTAACTTCCCGTAGGGAATTACTATAACTTAAGGTTATAGTAATCGCAAAAAAATTAAAAATAAAAATTTTCCTATTTAATGGAAAATTTATAGGAAAAATAGATGTACACGTGTGTGTGTGTGTTTTAATATTCGGTACAAGAAGTTCTAACAATTTGCCTACTAGCACCACTAGTTTTATTATTATATAGCAATTTTACACCTCCATCCCGAAATGGACAACAAGTGGGATGAAAACAATAACATTAAAAATACAAAATCTTCTAACCATTGTCAGTGATTTTCTAACCATTGATCAGTCATATGTTAATGTAACATGAATTTCTTTTCCAATCACGCCCAATAATGTTGTGGCGTAGTTTCTCAAGTCGCAAGTGAGTTTGGATGATCCTCATGGCGGCTTTTGTAATTGTCTAAATGTTTGTTCATATTCCATCGTTCATTGTGTAAGTGCCTTTATGTATTAACCAATTTGGTAATTCATTTTGGTATCTTTGAATGTTTATCACGCTTGGTTTGAAAGCCACAACTATGGCATACGCTAATTCGCCTATATAATTACTAATATCTTGCTGCATCTTATAGATAATGTCGTTTTAAAAAATGTGCTAACTTGTATGTTTTCAATAACTGAAAATAATGATGATGAGAGTGCTATGAAACATAAGACGCATAAATAACTTATTTTTTATATTTATATTCTGATTATTATTATATTCTGAGAACAAAATGGACATTAAGAATTTTTGCTGTCATAGATATCCTAACAAACATATCATTTTTCATTCACTGAATAAATCACTACAATATGGCCAGACCAAATTCAGATATGTGAAGAATGTATTATATTGAAATTGAAAAACATTCCACTTGAACAAATTCATCTCATAATGGAGACAAAGCTCAAAACAATCCACATACATATAGTTGAAGTATATCAATTCTGAATATGAAATTCAAATTTAAAAGACGAAAAAAGTTGTTCTGTTAATATTTTAACGATCAAAAAGTTGCAACCTTTTAACCATAGTTACAACTAAAAGATATTAGCCATACCAAAATATTTGCTCTTAAAAACACATTTTTTAACTTATGACTGAAATTCTACACACAAATTCTATATTCAAATAAAGAAAACTAAATGAATAGATTTCCATATTTCAAAAAGAAGAGTCTTTCAATAACTATCTTGTTAAATAGGTGATTTGAAACCCCTTTAGAAACAAAAAAAAAACTTAAAAATGGCTGCTAATTACAATATTATCAAAAATGAAACTACAATTAGGAAACATGTCTTAGGATATTTCTTCAGTTTGAAGAAATAGAGCATAATTTGCTTGCAACTTTCCAAAATCTTCACAATAGATAATTCAGTAACAACAACAGCAACAAAGATACTTTAAACAATTATAACTATAGTAAATGCTGTTGTTAAAAAATTCTTGAAAATATTTGTCATTTAAAAATGCTAATATCATTTAATTTCACACTAGCAAGTATTATTTATAATAAACAATCATGCTAAGATATCTAAAATAAAAACTGGAAAGAGTAGTAATAACATTATTTCACAAATATATTCATTCAGCATGATGATTCCATCTTTTATAAACTGCTATTTTTATTCAATTTTTCATAATTTGCAGATAAATGATAATTTCGAGAATCTATTCAAAAAATATTTAGTTACTTTTAATGAAAATCAATTAATACATATGCTTACAGTAAAATTCAAAATAAATTACGACATATCAGATAGTTTGAAAATCCACAAAAAGTTCATTAATTAAACTTTCCCGTACTAGAAGAAAACTTGATGTGAAAGCTGAATTTGAAATAAAATTGAGAGGCAAATAGTAAAAAATACGCATAGCAAGTTTTAGTAAAAAAATGTACGTATCAGTAGTTCTTTTAACATTTTTTATTGAGCACCAATAAAATACATGAGTGTTAGAATTATGAGCCAGTATATTCCAATTGAAATGGAAAGTGTCAGAAAATATACTTTGAGTGTAAATCATTTACTAAGTAAAACGCAATTAACTAATATATGCAAATAAGAGATATCATGTTATTTATAGTAATGAAACTGCAGAAATTATTTTTCAATATCGAACAGATAGTGCGTATTAAATTGCATATACAATTTATTTGAAATCAACTTCGAAGTATATTATTTTCAATGTCAAGATTATTCTCTTTGCGGCTGGTCGGCGGCGATTTAAAAGCATAGACTATGGCTATGGTAAAGTTATGACATTTGTGGGCGATCTTAAGAAACAATAAACTCTTAGTTTTATTATTTACATACATATTTCGACATTTATACTGTGTACGAATAAGTAAAACCTTAAGTAAACGAAAGTGTAGTATGCGGTAGTCTAGTGATTGTCATATTTGAAATACTGTAGACAACAAAATTAACAGCAAAATTAATTCTCTAAAAAAGCAATGAATTTTTTGATTACCATAAATAATTTTAAGCTATTTTCAAATACGAACACATAGTTTTTAAACGTTTTGTGAATCAAAAGAGTTCAACATTTCTAAATAGCATATTGCACGGGCTTCCAAAAAGTGAGCCACAAATTAATATTTAACTAGTGGTGCATGGCATCGTGCCTTAAGGCAAATTGCTGGAACTTCCCGTACCGTAATGAAATATTCGAGAAATATTAAATTTTTTCGAATAAATTATTATAAATACTGTAACTTATAGTGAATAAATAAAACTCAATGAATCAAGTTTAAAATGAAGGATATTGCCTAATATTTATAAGAATTGTATTAACTGAATTGCACAGTTAAAACTCATTTATTAAAGTATATAAGTGAACTTTAGAATTTTAGCTAGAATTAAAATTAAAATTCGAATTGTTTTCGATATTAAAAAAATATTTTTTTGAAATTAAAAAAAAAATCCGGGAGCAAGCGGATGCTTAGTTCTCTTAAAAACAGCATTTTTTTGCACATTTAACTCGGTATCTCCAAAACGGGTAGACCTGCCTTTGCCACTTCCACCCGTCATTACGAATTGAATGTTTTTTGGATCATTCTAATCGGATGCTCCGTTCTCTCAAAAACTTCTTTGCCAAAAACTAATCAGCACATCTTCCAATCAGTAGAAATCGAATGTTTTTTGAGCCCTTCAAATCGGTTCATCCGTGAGCCCGAAAACGTGGACGAAAACTTGTATCCTTGTATATATTTGTAAAAATGCAAATATTTTCAATTTTTGGACGATTACAATAACTTACCAGAGGTAAATTAAATATTATATTTCTTATGAAATTAGGAGAGGAATTATATTGTCAAGATGATAGTCCGATTTGCTTCAGATTCCTGACTTTTCATTTTTCTATAATAATAATCAAACGCTTTCATTTATTTTCCAATCAAATGCAGTCCAATGCAAATAAGATTTCAAAGCAAAAATACTATTCCATGGTAATCTATCCATTAGTATCTACTTGATTAGATTTAAATTATATTAGTAACTCTCAAAAAATAGAAAATCACCAAAAAAAAAGAAGTTGACTACACACATCTGATGATATTAATTATCTGAAACATCTAAATCATTATCTATGTTCTAAATATTTTTTCAAATTTAGGAGCCAATTCTCCGATAAAATAGAAATGTAACATAGCGTTGTTATGGCAACACTATGTTATGGCGCAATCTTCATATAATATATAATTGGTAGTTACAACTGTCTAAAAGGTATGTTACAACTACCTAAAACCTAACATAAAAACTAAAATGTTATCATAAGTCAATCTTTCTAATGTGCCCTTAATAACACATCTGAGAACTTAGATTTTATGTGGGAACGCCTGATCTCACAACAAATGCATAACATTTTGCGAGTTCTTACTACCAATGTATATGAATATAGGACTGTAACGTTTCTATTTCATCAGAGAATTGGCTCATTAGTTTCAGTTATACTCAGTTTTCTCTATCGTCTGTAGAAAGCATCAAATTGCAAATAATCGCACAACTATTTTGTTCTATAATGTCCTTATGACCCGAGCATTCCTAGTTTTTGTTGTTACAAATATGATCTTTTAGAAGTTCAGAAACCCCTAGCATAATGCTTGGTAAACAATGCAAAGTCCAATCCATGATACTGATCAACAAATAATTATAAACAATCTATTTTGAGTAGAACTAATGAAGTTACAAATGCAATATAAACGGCCAAAGATATAGTATGAAAAAATAATACTTGATAAAAATTATTAATAAAATATTAAAAATCCAGTCAAGTACGGATTTAAATTGTTCATTAATGATACAAATAATTGTTTATTACAAAAAATGATGTATTATATAGCGAGGCCGTACGATGATGATTAACAATGTAAAAAAGTGTCTCTTGTGATGACATTCAAGAACAGAAAAAATCAGAAAATTTTAAATAAATCTCATTGAAAACAGTAGTAACACATGAAAATATATAGAGAGGAGTTTTAGAAGCACGAGGAAGTAGAAAAGGAATTATTTAAATTATAGTCCAGTCATCATAGTAAGTTCGCCTCGGAATTCGAGGTACCCAGCTGTAAATACTTGTATATTGGCACCCTAAAGTTGTCTCAAAACCTATAAATGGTATTGACACCCTACCATATGTAGGTTTTGAGACAACTTTAGGGTGTCAATATACAAGTATTTATAGACTTACAGCTAATTTAAGCTTAAATGACTGGACTATTATTTTATACATATTTTATGCAGATTTAAAGCATAACGAAGACTATGTACGGTTGTGTTACGATACGGTTTTTTTTATTCTTTTTTTTTTATTTTTACACCTATCCAATTGACATTAAGTAAATTTTATGACTAACTAGCAACCCGGGCGAACTCCGTTTCACCACCAGATGGTTTCATTTTATGTATTATTTCGTTTGGTGATTAAAAGATGAAGAAAAAAATTGCCTGCTGTTGAAATTGAATAAAAATTTGCCCAATACACGTGATTGATTTGATGGTTTCCAATTGAAATGTTAGGAAACAAATAACATTTTTTTTTACATTTTTTGCACAATTTCACAGTGAACACAATGCGGGTTTGTCACATAAAATTAATTGAGCAGAGAACAATGAGTAGCTGTCAAACAAATGAGTGGCAGTCAAACAAAAAATATTAGTTTGCAGTACATACTAAGTATCAAAGATGACGCTGTATGTGAAAAAAGAAAAAGTGTTTTCCGCTTTTCTGTTGAAATCTTTCTTCAATTTTCTTTGCTATAAACCTCACGGAGCCCGAGATCTTTCAAACAAATGCAAAATCGTC